GGGGAGGGGTCTCACGTTGTTGCGGGGCACATTGGGCAGGATTTGGGAATGGGTCACACACAATTTGGGGAGGGGTCTCACGTTGTTGCGGGGGGCGTTGGGCAGGATTTGGGGAGGGGTCTCTCACAGATTTGGGGAGGGGTCTCGGGGAGGATTTGGGGAGGGGTCTGACCCAGTTTGGGGAGGGGTCTCACGTTGTTGCGGGGGGCGTTGGGCTGCACCGGGTCCTCGGCCGCCAGCGCGATGCTGCTCATGGCGATCACCATGAGGATGCACATCTCGAAATAGCGCAGGTTCACGATGTAGTGACACAGCCGCCGGAACCTGGGGGCGGGGATTGGGGAGGGGTCTCACGTTGTTGCGGGGGGCGTTGGGCTGCACCGGGTCCTCGGCCGCCAGCGCGATGCTGCTCATGGCGATCACCATGAGGATGCACATCTCGAAATAGCGCAGGTTCACGATGTAGTGACACAGCCGCCGGAACCTGGGGGCGGGGAGGGGCTGAGACCCCCCCCAGGACCCCCCCGGGACCCCCCCGGGACCCCCCAGACCCACGGGGTCCTCGCGGTAGCGCGCCATCAGCTCCAGCTCCAGGGTCTGGCTCTGCTCGGCGAAGCCGCTGAGGAAGAGGCCGGCGAAGGCCGCGGTGTGCAGGGCCCGCAGCAGGCGGGAGCGGTAGTGCAGCATGGCCTGGGGGACCCCAAACCCGGACTGGGACCCCAAATCCCACCCCAGAGACCCCAAATCCCACCCTAGAGACCTCAAACCCAGCCCCAGTGCCTTCCAATCCCATCCCAGCCCCCAAATCCCACCCCAAAGTCTCATTCCCAGTTCCAGTTCCAGTTCCCACTCCCAGCCCATTCCCGTTCCCATTCCCGTTCCCGTTCCCATTCCCATTCCCCATTCCCATTCCCAGTTCCCGTTCCCATTCCCCATTCCCATTCCCGTTCCCGTTCCCATTCCCGTTCCCATTCCCGTTCCCATTCCCGTTCCCATTCCCATTCCCATTCCCGTT